GGAGGGTGTAGGTTGGCTGGGGATAGTGGGCTAGAGCCAGTCCCAGCTGACAGTGGGTGAGGGGCGAGATGCACCCTGAACAGGTTGCCAGTCTGTCACAGGGCTGACACATAGAGACAGACAACCATTCACACACATCCACACCTACAAGCAATTCAGAGTCGCCAGTCAACCTAACCTGCATGTCTTTGGAGTGGGAGGAAACCAGAGTACGCAGAGAAAACCCACATACTCATGAGGAGAACGTACAAACTCCACATAGAAAAGCTGCAGAGTTTGAACCCAGAGCCTTCTTGCATCGTGCTCACTAATAAAACACAACACATCACATTTATTAAAATCTTTCCAGTGACTTAATGAAGTATTGCAAAATTTTGGTATAATTAATTATAAATGACAGTGCAGTGTAATGAATGTCATATTAAAGTTAACAATTATTGAATCTTCTCAGAAGCTTTCAATTCCTCTGTAAAATAAATAACTAAATACATTATATAGAGAGAGTGAAAGAGAGAGAGAGAGTTCTTTGGTTCTGAATGCCACTGACACCATTTCGTTTTTGTAGCTGGCAGCTATGATTTTTCAACATTTTCTTCACTCAAGCCACAGCTTTGGTGCAAAGGCTGAGAACATTACATGTCTTGTTTCGTCCCTGAGTCTGAGCCAGCATGGCGCTTGGAGCCAGACTCAAACAACATCCTCCTCTTTGGACCCACCCTGACTCTATGCAAAACAGCCCCTCTGCACAGCAGATTTTTTTATTTTTTTTGCTGTGTAGCTTAGCAAGTTCATCAGTTAAATAAATCATCCTGTTAATAAAGAAGAGGTTGCATATCTCAGTTACTAAAAGGCCTGGAAAGATTTTCTGTTGTTTCCTATAGTAAGAGACTCAGGAATTTAGTTTGTCAGCAGGATTTCTCTAGTTCTGCAGGGTTCCATTTCAATTTGGCGAACAGATAGCATGGTCAGGGAACAAATCGGTTCAGTTATGCTAGGCGTCACAATTTGGGGTTCCAATATTAGTCAATTATTGGTTTTTTGTAGCATAACTATGGCATGAAGCTGCCTGAAAAGTGAGATTCACTCTGACTTTACAAAATAATTTCTCTACATGAAGCAGAACCAACATAATGGGGTGAAAAAAGTGATGAAAAGGGCCTTGTACATTTTCAGTCTACCTCCTACCAGTGTCACCCCTTCTTATTCATAGAGGCTTTTAATTGTTACCTGTCTAATTGTGAGGCATGCAAATAAGGATATAATTGCAACATATTTCACTAAATGCAGGTGAAGCACAGTTGCCAAATACAGGGGTCTACAGTATTTTCGCTGTTCAATATTTCAGTACTACCATCCTATAATTTGCCTCATCTTTTACCATATCGAAAGTAATATATCTTCTTCCTATTACTATTTGCTTCTTTTTATTAATTGTGTACAGCTAAACTACCTGATAGTGCACACTTTCTGTAGGAAAATGTGCACTGCAGGTTTAGGAGTAGCATACCATATAGAGGGCCGTTATTGTGCCAGCTTTGTCACCTGCAGAGAGCCGACACAGGCTCACAAATGTGGCATGACTTTAAAATGTTATGATTATTGCACATATGGAATTTATTTTTGTCACATGACATTACTGTAAACAGTTCACTTTATCTAGTGCAAGAGATCCATGTACACTCACTTTATTAGATCAGATTTTAAAGTGAAATGTTGCTCTTTATGTTCACCTCTCCAGCTGAGGCATTTGTCATAAAGCAGTTGTTGCACGATTGCAATATTTTGGCTAGTATCAGTACTTCAGCAAAGGTCTGCCCAGTGAAATCATGAGCAGTCCTGATGAAATACAGGTTGAACAGCACCTCATTTCGAGCAGAGCTATAAGCAGGCCTTATTCCCTCTGATGTTCTTGGCCGTGGCTGTAGTTATAGTTTATGTTGGCAACACAGTCAAGTTCCTAGTGCTCATGTTCATGTGTAGCTCTGCCCAGCCATTTGAGATATTTTATCAAATCAGGGCTCAGTGTCTGAAACAGAGATATACTGGATATACTGTATTCTGGATTAGAAAGCTCACATTTGCGGATGACGTCTGTGCTCATTGTCATTTAACTTGGAAGAGATTTATTATGTGCGTGTTTTTGAGTGGGAATTTTATTATTTGACGAAATTCCTTTGGGAACAGATCTCTTAGACTTCAGAAGACTATATAGGTGATTTTCAGCCTCTCTATGTTTGCACAGGTTGGTGGTTTGTTAGCACCACAGAGGAGCAGGGTTGGGTCCCCGCTACCTATCTGAACTCCCACAGCGGCACACGGGATGACTTGGAGCTGGGTGCCTCTAAAACTGGGGAAGGTGAGTCACTGCTAACTCTCCTGCCTCTGCCCACCCACCCACACAAACACAACCTCACACACACTGTTATATACCCACACACAGATGCCACCCCTGCCTTTGAGCTGTTGTAAAATGGAATAAACTCTCCCCTACTTCACCACTGCTGACCTGTGCTAATGGCAGACGCCGGGCTGGTGTGAACACCTCTCTCTGTCTGCCTGCCAACATAAACACGCTTGAACAGAGTGTAGATTCAAGCCTCTGTAAATATCAAGGAGGTGTGCCAGGAGAGAGCAGACTACAGCCACTGATGTCCTGTACAGTAATACACTGTACAGTAAAACCTAGCACAACATTAAGTGATATGTCCTCGTTGAAATGATTCCATCAGTAAAAAGAAATAAAACTTTCTATTTATATAAAACAATATTTCATGACACACATTTTAAATGGTGGTTACCGTTAATTAGAGAACGCTCTGACATGAATTATCCTATTTTCATGCAATGTCTGCTTATTGTAGATTGCTTGTCAGTTATAGTACAGCTGACAAGTGATGGTGTTATGTTTCATGAGATTACTGAAGTCAGAGAGGGATCCAAAATTTGATAGAAAACACACCTTTGTATGGTTTGGTGCACCAGAATATAATACTAGCTTATGAATCTGAAAACTGTGTACAGTCATGTAATCATCTTGACAGCCTTTTAGACACGGTTTAATCAATCTAGAATAGCTCAAGTCGTCTCATTCTTCAGTCCTGATAGTTTTGACAGGTAGTGCAGCAGCTGCAGCTTGTTTGTTAAGATTCGTGTATCGCTGTACTAGAGAAAACCCAAGAAACTGGAGGAAGAGAAATTGTTAAATTGCATATTACACTTCCAAACAAACAATAAGATTGTATAGCACTCTGGCTAAAACATCATCTGCTGTAGTCTGTAACAATGGAATCAAAAATCCCCCTCAAGAATTTAAAACAATTATCAAGGAGAGAAGAAAAACACGAGTGTTACTACTGAACAATATGTGTAATATGTTAAAATGCTCTTTTCTCCCCATTTTATCAACAAAGGATTTCAAGATTTCACAAGTGTTTGACCACAGTGGAGACAGAAATACATTCATATACCTAAATGCAAACACTCCTATTGAACCTGTCAGAGATTGCTGGAGTTTGCTGCCAGCGGGCATCAGGAAGGACAGTCTGTCTGTGCCATTAGTGTTTATGTGTGTTAGTCAGTCATAGGAACAGCAGGAAACTCAGAAAGCATCTCTTTTTCAGTCCCATGGTCTTAGAAGCAAATGCAAATGTCATTGCATTATCACAAAGAAAAGTGAATCTTTCTATAAAACCTGTTTTGGGATTTGTAATAGTTCTTTAAAAAAAGAGACATGTTGAAAGCTTTGACAGCTTCAGATGTGACTTTACCCACTGATGTAAGTGTACATACATCCGCCTCGTTGGTGTTTGGTTATATTTTATGCAAAACTACACAACCCGCTTAAAGGAATAGTTAGACATTTTGGAAAGCACTTTTATTTGTTTTGTGGTGGAGAGTTAAATTTTCTATATTTGTTGTGTTATTTACTGAGATCATGAGTCTCAAACCAAATTAACTAAGCTAATGGGCTGCTTCATATTTACCGTCGCACTCATGAGCGTGGGAGCCATTTTCTCCTCTTACTGTTCGCCAGAAATTGTTGTTGTTTCTCAAAATGTTAAACTATTACTTTCAATTTGTTTATGTTTTTAAAACTATCTACAAGTACTAATTTTAATCCATCTCTCAAATTTTGTCTGATATTCCTGTTATTTGAACTTAATACATGTAAAAGTACCGAATGATTCTGTTTTCATACATATGATAATTTACAGGAGCTTCTTCAGTTTTCATTTTGACATATGACATAAGATTTTCCAGCTGGCAGAAATCATTTCCATCTCTTGTGTTTTACTTACAAAGGGCACAGGGAAATATAGACCTTCTGAGGTGTCAAGAGCACCCTCAGCTGCTTTGTTACTGGATAGCGTTCCTGCAGCAACAGCGTGTGTCCCAGATGCTAACGCAACAGGATGGGAAAACCATGCCAACAACATCCTAATTACAAACCACAGAGAACATGTCTTGGTGTAACATTTCCTTTTGTAACCTCCATCCATCCACGCTAACTGCCCACCATGTTTTGCGTTGTGGTCTTGTGTTGTTTGTCCTCCATGTGGCTAATAATGGGCCTCTTTTGATCCTTGTCAATTGTGTGCTGTGCACTTGTGTAACATCTGTGCTTGCTCTTCATGTCTCCTTGTTTGTTTGTTTGTCATCATCTGGTCATCATGTGTGTCTGTCAGTTATTAAGCGACACAAGGCTCATCTGAAGAGGCTGGACCGGAGATGGACATTGGGGGGTGTCATCAGCAGGCAGCAGAGTCGAGGTGAACCAAGACAGATGCTGCATCACCTCCCTCCCTCCCTCCCTCCTTTTGTTCTCCTCACCCTGTCTTGTTTTTTCTTATCACATGATTCCCTCTCCACATGCACACATTTGTTTATTCTTGCATCATGTTTTCTTCCAGTTAATCCATTTATCATAAGCCACCACAACTAACCACTAACTGATGTTAATATGAAACGAGTTTGGAAAGCAAAGATGAAATCAGCAACTTTATATACCCCCCCATTACTAATGCTAAGCTCAAATTATGTTACAAAATTGCTCCATATAAGCATTTTCATTATAATTACACATTATGTGCCAAAACCAGTCTTCTCTGAAAAAATGCTCTCCACCCCTGTGAAAGTAGTTGTGTAAAAGACTTTAGAATACCTTATTCTGCACTTCTGAGTCATATTTTGCTGTTTTATGAGCAAATGAGGGGTGTATGTAGCTTTCTAATTAGTGTGTGTTCTAACGATGTGTGGTAGAAACTGCCATTAATCCTGCTGTGGTGTGATTAGTTGCCAGTATTGACAGATAAATAGCCTTAATAATCTCTCACTTAGCAGGAAAATCTATTCTAAATCACAAAAATGCACATATTCTTCTAACCAAGGAAAAAGGTTTTTTTAATTTTTTTATTTTGTTTTATTTTTATTTATTTACTTAATTTCACATGAGATGTATTTGGACTGTTGACAGAGGAGTGAGGATAGGTTATTGAGTTCAGCCCAAACTTTGCCCTTGGCAGTGGATGCTGCTCTCTGGAGTGGAGAGAGAGTTGTTTCCACCCCCGGACTGAAATTATGTTTTGTGTTTAAGAAAAAGGACTGATGTTTTGCTGACTCCTCAAGAATAAATTATAAAGCTGATGCAAGCAATGCATGTTGTGGTTAACATAACATCTGATTCAGAGTTTCCTGTTGCGCAGTTTTATATTGTTTGAAAAAGGAGGTTGGTGAAAGGAAAGTGTTCTACCAGCCCTGACACACAGAGGCAGGAACAACCAGGCAAGAGGAAAATAATGCATACAGAAATAGCCCTTATTCATGGAGCTTACTGCAGTTTTTGCAACTAAAGGGAATTACTCTCCCACACACATTCGGCATCTACACAACCTTGGAAATGGGTGGAGGGAAGGAAAATGGAATAATTTAAGAATGATGATTCCTGGGAGGGTAGAATACAGAGCAGTGATTCTTTATGTGCTCCTCCTCTTTGTGAACACATCTTCTTCCTGTGCTGCCTGTGTAGACAGGAACTGCCATAATGACAGGAAATGATGACTTCACTCTGCCCCTTGGCCTCATGGGAATGCATAAATCAGCATGCTCTCTATTATATGCTGAGTTTGGAGACCATCACTGTCACATGGCCAAGAACACTTAGGACTTTGGTTTGCCCCATGTACTGTAGTTTGCCTTGGTCAATGCCCTTTATGAATACAGTTGCGTTATATGAGACTGGTTGATATTATGGCACACTTCATTTGATCACATTTCAAGGAGTGTGCACTTAGTAGTCCTTAGTTTTTATGGGCACTTTATTCCTTTATTGGATAAATAATAGTGGGGGGTTACTGTCCTAAGGCAGCAGATAAAGTCATATAGTGTGATCTGCAAAGATTTTAATCCTTCAGATCCACTTGCTGCTGTTTGGTGTGTGTGCAAAAAAACATCAGATTTATACACCCAAATCAACACACAGGGTTTTTATTTTATATTTTATCATGCACATATCAACACAAGGGGAGAACAGCACAAACATTTTAGCTATGGCTTCTTCATTGTTCTACAATCTTTCAGCATTTTTAGATGTAGACTTCAGTTTAATGCACCCCAGATCAGCATTTCTCTTCAGAATGTTGCCTTTGGCTGAGCACAGTGCACCTTACCTTCCATTTGTACAAGAGCATGCAACCTGGAAGGTTGGTGTAACAGCTGTTTACCATCAGTGTTATAGATGCTACTGACCAGATGTTTAGTGTTTCCTAGTCTACAATATTTACTCAGTTGTAAAGCTTATCCCCACATCTGAAGGTCAAAAACTAAAAACGTTGGTGGAAACAGTCTTTGTGTGGTTTCTTACTACTACAGTATGATCACTGATCATATAAATATAAAAAGTCTACAGGAAATGCTTGAAGACTAGAATAAACACCTTTCTCTCTCTCTTTTATTTTCAGTGATTATCTTATTTTCAGAGATTTTACTTCCCTCAGAATTTTAACTTTGTTGTCATTTTCTGTCTGCCTTTGACAGAAGAGAAGTATGTAACAGTGCAGCCCTATGCCAGTCAGGGCAAAGATGAAATTGCTTTTGAGAAAGGAGTCATTGTGGAGGTGATTCAGAAGAACTTAGAAGGCTGGTGGTTTATCAGGTAAGCTCCGGCTCACTTGCTTCAGACAATTTTTTTTTTTGTTTTTCATTACAAATATAGTGTTTTTACCATTTTTCCTTCCAACATACTTGATAGGTATCAGAATAAAGAAGGCTGGGCTCCAGCCTCTTACCTAAAGAAGGTCAAGGAAGACTTCTCTCCTCGTAAGAAGACTGTTACAGGTCCAGTGGAGATCATTGGAAACATCATGGAGATCAGTAACCTGTTGAACAAGAAAACCCTGAGTGAGAAAGATGTACAGACTGAAGGTGTCCTAGAGAGCCCCCAGGTGACCCGGAAGGAGATCAGCTTGCCAATCCCCTGCGCTGACTCTGGCCTTGTCCATTCCCCACAGGATGGAAAAGGCAGAGCAGAGCCTGCATCACCAGCTGTGGCCCGCATTGCCCCTCATCGGGTGGAAATTGGTTGGTCATATTACTGTGAATGCTTGAATTTCTGTCATTAACTTGAATTTCTTTCAGTCTGTGACAGTTAATTACTAGTTACTCAATTTAATAACTTTTTTATTGTATTGCTAAATTTCCTGAGGCTTATACATATATATTCTTAAATGTAACCCAGTTTGGTTTCACAGGTTCCCCAGTTCTCAGGCAAAAACCTCCTCCTCGAAGAGATGCAACCCTGGTAAGATTGTTCAATATTTTTGCCGTTCCTCCCTCTAGTCATTTCTAGTTATTAAAGAAACTAGTTATTTAAGTTATTATTAGTTATTAAAGTTATTAAAGATCACTGAGCTTGAAAAGTCTGTATACAGTATTTGGGTGCAAATAAATGTATGTCCCTTGTGAGAAAATTTAAATGGCCAAAAGAAGAAGTAGAAGTATCAGAATCTTGTTTGTACAGGTATTATCCATAAAATTGACTTCAGTATCTAGAGTAAAAGTGCTCATTTTGCAAAACACTTAACACATGACTGATATTTTTATATAAGATACTGTAAGATTGTGATGCATCAATTTGCAACTTGTCAAATCCAAATCTGCTCAGGGGTTTCAGTTGCCCTCCCCACCAGAGCCCCCTACAGTTGAAGCAGAGTACTACACTATTGCAGAGTTCCAGTCTTGTATATCTGATGGTATCAGTTTCAATGGAGGACAGAAAGCAGAGGTAAGAGCTCTTTTTCAAATTAAACTTCAGTAACAAGAGAGTCTTCAGCAATCTTAAACTATTATGCCAACCATGTCTCTTGCTGTATCTACAGTATGTATTCATCATAACTCAGTAACATCTCTGCTTTCTCCAGGAGAAAATCTAAGTCTGATTAAAATGTGAAAAATGCCTTAATAAATTCTTTCTTAAACATGTACTTTAGGTCATAGAGAAGAACTCTGGTGGTTGGTGGTATGTCCAAATAGGGGAGAAGGAGGGCTGGGCTCCCTGCTCCTACATCGATAAGCGTAAAAAGCCCAACCTCAATCGCAGAACAAGCACTTTGTGCCGTCCTAAAGTTCCACCCCCAGCCCCGCCTGTCAAAAAACAAGACTCCGTGGAGACTGCACCTCCCAGTAGTCCTGGGTCTGAAGCTCCAGAGTCCCCTGTGTCTCCTGGGAGGCCAGTTTATGAAGAGCCAGAATATGATGTTCCTGCCATTGGTGATCTTGACCTGGAGTCTGAGTTTGAGTTTCTGAAGGGAGAAGGTTCCTTGGTAGATAGAAAGAATGAGGATACTTCCTCTGAGAAGGGATCCCATGTGTCCTCCAAGCCTTCTCCAGCTTCATCGCTCCACAGTGCCTCCTTCAAGATGGGTGAGTCATTTGAAGATGGTCATGAGGCGGAGGGAGAGGACGAGTGTATTTATGAAAATGAAGGCTTCCGACCCTTCAGAGAGACCCCAGAGAGGCATTGCAGCAGGGACTCAAATTCCCCCAAGACAGGTGTCCTGTCAGAAACTGGCAAGATTGCAAACCCAGTATCAAGTGGATGGAAACTTGCAGGGAACAAGCTCAAGATCGACTTGAATGGGAGTCCATTTTCAGTCAAAGCTGAGGAGGCATCAAATCCTAAGTTTGCTTCCACTGAATCCACTCCTGATCTGTTGAGACTTAAGAAAGACCAAGAAGAAAGCAAGGCATCCCAGAGCATTAAGTCTTCCTCTAAACTAAAGCCAGTGGTGAGGCCTAAACCACAACTGGCCAAGGCATCCAGTGCTGAAAAGATGGACATCAGCACTTTGAGAAGACAGCTGCGGCCAACAGGGCAGCTGAAGAATGGCACCAAAAGTAAAGGTGAGGACTGTGAGACAGCTTCAGTCATCTCCTCTGAGGACTCCTTCTCTTCTCAGAGCACATCTGATCTGTCTTCCATCTATTCTAAAGGAAGCCGGGGAGACTCGGACCTGGAAGGGTGCAACCTGTATCGCACCACAGATCCCTATGAGAAGGTCCAAGAGTCTGAGCTCAGTTTCCCTGCTGGAGTTGAAGTAGAAGTGCTAGAAAAGCAGGAGAGTGGCTGGTGGTATATCCGCTGGAGAGATTCAGAGGGATGGGCTCCAACTTATTACCTGGAGCCTGTCAGGCAACAAGATGACGTGCTAGAATCCGAATCCGATGGCACACCGACTAAACCTGGAAGCCTCAGCAAGTCCAACAGTCTTGAGAAGAATGAACAGAGGGTGCAGGCACTGAACAACATAAACCAAAACCTAAAAAAAGTCACACCACCCATCCCATCCAAGCCTCCGGGTGGCTTCTCCAAGCCTATCAGCTTGTTCAGTTCACAGAAGCAGAATAGCTCCAAACAGCAACAAGTTGTCAGACCTCAGTCTGTTTTTATATCAGCCTCAGTCAGGGATGGTTGCAGCCCTGTTGGCTCTCTCAGGAGAAACGAGTCCCTCAACTCCACAGACCACCCTCGTGCCAGCCCCACAGTGCGACGAAACGCCTCCTTTGGCACTGTGCCGCGCAGCCTGGCACCAAATAACATAGCATTACCCAACAGGAGCAGATCCGGTATGGGTAGCTCTGAATCCCTTGGCCTCAGCTCTCAGAAGAATGCCCTTCCTGTATCCACAGTGAAACCCAAGCCCCACATCATCTATAACAACCTCAGAGAGGTGTATGTTTCCATAGCGGACTACCACGGTGATGAGGAGACCATGGGATTTCCTGAGGGGACGAGTCTGGAGGTCCTGGAAAGAAACCCCAATGGATGGTGGTACTGCAAGGTTCTGGACAATGGCAGACCAAGGAAAGGATGGGTTCCTTCAAATTACCTCGAGAAAAAACATTAACACTCGTGGGGCTGGCATAACTCTGAACATGCGTGTAAAGACTACTCAAACTGATGCATTTATTTTGTGAAAAAGGCTAATCCTAAGACTTTAACCTAGGGTTGAAATCTTACCTGGTACCTTTGCTAAAACTAGCAGCCAGATCAAATTGTGACTTTGAAGTGAAATGAGACATCTGGTAAAGTGAGTCTACATGATGCAGTGCTTTAGACTTTGCATTAGGAGCAATATATCTGGACTTGACGTGACACAGACAAAGAGAACACCAGACTGAATTTATAAATGATATTCCCCAGTGGTTACATTTAACTTGAATAAGATGTTGTTTTTCTGTCCACTCGTCGAACCATTTTATAATGTCATTTTTAAAATATTTAAAGCTTACTGCATGTTTCATTATACTGACGATGCCTGAGCTGTTGAAAGTAAGCCATTTTCTTCTCCTTTACTTACAGAAAATCTCAGTTGTTGCCAAAGCTGCTTCATGTTAGTCTCATTTTGGTGCTGTCTGTTTGCATGTTCTTATATCTTTTTATACTGTATGTCATCTTCATGTGAAATATTTTACCCATTTAACTGTGTAATATTGTCCTAATGAAACAATTTGTGAGCATCTCTAATTAGCAAGGTATTTTCTTACCCATAAATGTAAAATAATCATATCAATTTTGTTGTTGTTGTTTTCATTTCATAGGCCAATTGTCCAAAATTAAACTTCCCTCACATCAGTGAAAATTATATTTATTTGTTATTTTAAAACCATATTAGTTATTTTATTATTATTTACTGATTTAAAAAAATCACAATTGCTTAAACATGTCTAAGAACTGCTCTATTAATGGTGATAACACTTTGAATTTCTGCTGGGCAGTAAATTTGACACACAGGGATGCTCACTCTTGTTTTATGTTAACTGTTTGACTAGTGATGATTACTGAAGTGCCATAATAATTAATTAAATAAATGCACTTTTAAACAATTATTAGTACCTTCCTTTTTAAAAATTGCCCTCACATCAAGTTTTTCCTCTAGTACAGAGGCCTGTCAGATCAACACAAGTAACACATTATGTTAATGTATTTTTGATACAGTTGAATTGTCAGTATTGAGATTGGTCATGTTTTCACCACTAGAGGCACAAGCTGGACATTTCAGCCCTTTATTCATTGCTTAAGAATACTTCTGTTACTTTTAGTTAGGTATTTGTTACGTTTAGTTATTTCAAATTCAACTTTACAGTTCATTTAAATTCATTACTTAGTATTCATTACCTTTAGCTGATGGATTAAATGTAGTATATAATAAACCATAGCATGAAAAGATTACAGGATTTCAATGATGATGATGATAAATTGGGGCAGTGGGATCTTGCTTTTGCAACATTTTCCCACACTTTCATTAGGGTTGCTAACGTGAAGCCTCTCAGTTGTGTGGAATTAAAAACTTTATGCCTTGGAATAAATAAAGAATCTCAATAATGAATATGTTTATATATAATATATAAACCCACATTTGTGCATATGCTATATACATAGTTATGTGGTTGGGCAAAAGATTTAGATTAGACTTTCATGCCTGACATCCTTTACTCACAGCACTGAGTGGTGCAGTTCGCTCTTTGATTGGCCTCCTCTGGCAGCTTTTGATTGACATTTGACTTTGGTTTTGATGGTGTTCAGTCTGTGGTCGCTGGGCTGCTTAATTTAGCGTCAACTGACAAAGCAAAAGTTTAACTTACCATGTGGAGCTGTAGTTTATAATATTGCCATCTTCAGCTATAATCAGAGGAAAACCTAATCAAAACACTGATGCAGTTTTCTGTCGTCAGATTCTACATGTTGCCATTATATTGGATTTAATGTCTGATATATAATAATATTTACACACCCCTATAATTTAATGTGGAATACATATGTATGTCCATCCGCTGGCTGTTTGCTCATTTTGGGACTTCTACACTCATGCTATACTCATTGATTAGGAACAAAGTTATGGGTGTCTCTTGATCATTTTGTCAAGCAGCTGTGAGTAAGTGTGAGTATATTTGCTTCCTATCGTACTCATGCAGGGTGTGCTCTTAATTTGTGCTTGCAAATAATAAATTATAGATGTAGAGAAAGAAGAAGGGATATACAAGATGTGCAGGTAAAATTCCAAGAGACATAACTTCAAATATGGAAGTAGCCTTTCATTGGTGGAAATAGTAGTTTGGCAATTTAACAAACTACTAAATACTGCAAAACAACAACAACAACAAAAGAATATTTTGTCAGTTTGATTCTTAGGGAGTAGAAAGGGAAATGTTTGAAATTCAGTACAAAATTCAAATATAAAGGGATCTAAGCTTCTCCCTGAGTCTGAAAGTTTTTGTACATTTTGTTTTTTATAACATGTTAATGTCAACATCAAATATGTCAGTTCTTCTGTGAAAACTACTAATTGTGGCTATAAGCTAACTTAAGTTTATTTTTATTATTTATAAAATGTTTTAAATTAGGCTTATTGAATATTGAATGGGCAGTTGAAAGGCATATCTTATGTACACTGAAAGTATTGTTGACGTCTGCAGCAGCCCCTGCAGTTTTTTGTCCTGTCCATAATGTGTTGTAGCTGTTTTTGGCCACTGGAGGGCAGCAGCATTCAGCATCTAAATGCAGATGAAGTAACTTTCACCTTTGTCATCATCAGCACAGTAATTAGTGTAGGGGTGAAATCAATTAATTTATATTTCCACCTATGAACAAATTTATACTTTTTAATAGAAGTACACTTACCCTCACAGGCCGTCAGGCTGTCTTCTGGCACTAAAAATCTGACTGAGGAGAAGATTTGACATCAAATTGCACACCAAAAGCTCAAAGCTTTAACTACAACAGAGGAAGAATCTCAAATTGTGACTGTCTGATGCCAGTTAGAATTCAAAATGAATAGTGTCATGCTTTTTTTTAGTACAAATTTGATACCTTAATAGATGGTGTGTGTATGTGTGTGTGTGTGTGTGTGTGTGTGTGTGTGTGTGTGTTTGACCAAACAGCTGTCTAGAAGAGATACCACTATACAGCTCAAAAAATCTGCCAAGCCCTTAAGCCTTCAGAAGGCCGGCAGCCAGGTTCAGTGAGAGGTCTGAGTGGAAAGTCTGTGTGTACACAGGCACCAGAGAGAGAGACTGTATTCATGTCACTTTCACAGACCCCAACTGTGTATTCCTCTCTCACCTTGGAGAACACTTGGCAATGAACAGCAGCCACTGCCGCCTGCTTCATGTCTGGACATCATGGGCTGTATTTGTACCTATTGGAGTGCTGCATAAAACAGTACTGCATTAGAGCCAGGCCTGCAGGGTAGTAAATAACAGATGATGTTCACTCTGGCCAGGTCTACATACCACAACTCTAAACAGTTTCTCTGTGAGTTATAGCTGTTTACTAAAAGCTCTTGCCTTTGTTGTTCATATAGTCTATGGCGGGATGTTAGTCAAGTACTGTAGAGAGTGATTGTGTCGGGTGTTATGCATCTGAGAAATGGCTGCCTTTCTGTTCTCTAACTGTCGGCTAGTTTGATCATTCTTGCGTAAGAGGTTAATCCATCATCATGCATTTGTATAATGTATATTTTGCAGAAAGGCTGTGGCACTAATGCTCTCTCATTCTCCATCTTTTGTGCCAGATTGATTTCTGTTACCTGCTGTGCATAAAAAATAGCAGTGAAATGGTCATTTTGAACCAAAATGGACTAAAGAGCTGCATGGGCTCTTTTTTTTGGTTTATTTTAATGTAAGAAATAATAAAACCACAAAGCCAGTGATTCAAACTTAAACTTTATTAAACATAAACCACTCTAAGAATGTTTAAAACAACAACAACAACATCAACAAATAGAAATCCAAAGTCCAGAAAACCAAAGTTATGAGCTGATCTTCTTGTCTTAAGTGCACAGTGCCCACATTCACTTACTTGCTGGTTTTGGTTTGGTTTTTGTCTGGACTGTAAATATTTGGTCACATTTGAAAAACAGGCTGTCAGAATTACGACCATATGGGAAACTGCTTGTGTCTGTTTTACTACAAGATGAATTTCAATATGCACAAGTGGGACAGACAATTGTACCAACTTATATGTATCCAATGCCAAATTTACATGTTTTATTTCCTTTTAATACTAGCTCTAACTTTATATTAAAACATATATATTATAACATTTTTAAAATACAGATATAGAGTTGTGTTCCCCTGGAAAAGGTCTGATATTCATTATCTTATAGCTCTGTTTTTGGTCTCCACCCATTTCTGAGGGAAATATCTGACTCTGTAGCCACAATATTCTCTATTATGTTCACCACCTAGTTTCTTACTCTGACTATCTGCTGAGCACAAGGTGTACAGTGAGTTTTTAGAGCTTTATCTTTAAAAAAAAAGTTGCCTGTTGTGGCCAAAAACAACCCTCTGAAAAGGGTAAGACTGAACCAGAACAAAGTTGTGGTCCAGGCGGCTAAATAACGAGTTGAAACTTGCTGTAAAGTTTGAGTAAAGTCAAGCAGAGCTGCAGATTCAGGTGATAATTGTCTTTGGGTTCATCACTATGAGTGAGTGACTCCTTTCACACTGTCATTTGGTACACTGTCATTATAAAAATATCAATTATAGCCACTTCAAGTAACAGTAGTATGTTAATACCACAATGTCAAAATACTCCACTGCAACTAAAAATACTCAATTGCATCCAAACATCTACTTAAGGTTATGTACATACATTTTATCAATGGAAATATTAAAGGTAAAAGTACTCCCATCAAAAAGAGGTATTATTACTGATGCATTATTGTATATATACACTGCATTTCAGTACTGTATCAGGGTCAAGGGTGAATTTATTTTAATCAGTTTATTCAGCTGGATACATGTATAAACTAAAAAGAAAGATTTTTCTATATCTGCTTAGAAACTATGTTAAGCAAAACTGTCGGATAAATGTAGTGGGGTGAAAAAGAGAATATCACTTCCTGAAATGTACTGGAGTAGAAGTATTGCAGTAAATAGTATAATTTGGAAATATTCAAGGACAAGTACATCAAAATTGCACTTGAGTAGACTTTGTTACATTCCACCAGTGGAAAATGGTAATGGCTTTCTTATCTAACGCTCCACCTCAAAGTGACGTTTCCAAAAATGTGAAAATCAGCTGACACAACCAAAAAGTGTTTTAGGAAAATACTGTTTTCTATAATCTTTCACTTTACACCAGTAACATTAACATTATTCTTATTTTTTGGACACCGTGGGCATACATATAAAATATAGTGATAATTTTTATAGTAGCATTGACAAAATAAATAAACCTCATAATGTACAGTTAATTACACGCATCAATACCATTTTTCTATCAAAAAATGCTTCACGATGTTTTATTTCTGCATATTTGGTCAAGAAAAAAACAAAACAAACAAAAACAGGTAGAAGTGTAAAGGCTGAGTATCTCCCAAGCACACAATTCCAGTATTATACAATGCAGTGACAGAGTGCAGTGAATACATTCACACTTAGATTAAGCACACTGAAATGTTTGCTTCAAAGTTAAGCACAACAACTTTGTGTCAGCTGGTTGTGTGATTACACCTGTTCACGTCAGATCTCACAACCACGTAATAGTGACTTTTCACAGTGAGGAGTGAAACTGTTAGTCCACACTTCTCTTTATAGAGGCACACAAAAAAACATGCTTTACAACATGACCGCAAAATCCCCCCTCCACAGATAAAAAGCTCAAAGCCTCAAAAAGGGGAAAAAAACAGAGTAATGTTTCAGTGAGGCCAAAATAAAACCTGAAAATAGCCTGTACTGCTTAACAGTTCAAAGCAGTACATAATGCATGAGATTAGTCCTGTGAAAATGTCCTTGGAGTTTGCTTTTACTGATGAAGAGCAGCACTCAGAAACTGATATGCAAATCAAATTCTCACATTGTGTCACAGTAACAAGCTACATCCTTGTCACTGACTGCACGCGTGTGAATTCTTTTTCTACTTGAAGACATTGCACTGAAATACATCATCACCCGAAGCAAAAAAGTCATGTTCTAATTTAACATACATGTGAAAGAGCAGTTTGTAACCTGAAGTAAGTGATGCCATCTGTAATCTAAGTGTATCATGGGTTTCTTGCGATGATGAAGAGGTTGAGTTGTCATCCTTATGTACTCTTTTGGCATTTTAAAAATACTCCATTGCCCACCAATGTTTATTTGGACTTTTTTCCAATTACAGCAGCGGTCAGATTACTGAGCAGCCAGAGATGGCAGGGTCAGCTGCCAAGAAGAAGGACATGCAACGATGCAAGTCCCACATATTACAGGCTTTCATACAAACCTACGATGTGTCTGGTGTGCCTGAATCAGCGAACGCTTTCTTTGCACGAAAATAACATGCAGACACACAGCAAAGGTGGCCTGTTTCTCTCCTATCTTCATCCCAAACTTAAAACATCCTCTCGCCCTGCTCCCTTGATCCCTCTTCACTGATTTACATCCTCATTCACCACAAGTGTGACCTTCTATGGTGACAGCATTCACACTTTTTACCCCTTGCCTGAAGTTCACAGAAGAACAGCAGGTAATGAGATACAGTATCCAACAAAACACTTTTATGACACAACTGAGTTCCTTTAAGGATTTCTTTACCCTTTAAAGTTAGGCATTTCCTCGTGTTTTATTGCAGTAGGAGCATTTTCTACTCATCAAAATGGCTTGTTTTATAAAGTTTTCATCACAAAAACATTGTCTTTCTACTGACCCATCACTAATATCTGGAAGCAGAGCATTCGGTACATACAACAACATATCTTGTCTTGATTTTCTCTCAGATTTATTGGAGGATTGATTCTTGCTCTAAAACAACGCTTTCAGACTTGGCGCTGAAGGAGTAGCTGGCGAAAGTTCAGACTTATTCTCATTGCTTTGTTTGTAGCTCTGGACAATTTTATTTCTTCTAAAACTGGCTAGCAGTAATGTTTTCACCAGCAGAATGACTCTGTAGAAACTAGGACAGATGAACAAATCACAGTCACTGGACAATAATACCTCAAGGTCCAATCTGATGACCACATTGGATTTTCTGATGGTTTATGATACATTTAATTGCTGTGTATTCACAGGTAGGCAACACAATAAGCTTTCCAAGGATGTGCATTTGCCATCATATAGATTCAGTGTTGAATTGATGGAGTTTAAAGTCCTGCTGTAGAGTACCTGAGCCAGAATGCACACACAAATAAGTGGGGCTTTCTCTTGTGCTGTGTTCATCTTTTCAAAGTCTCACATGGCTAACATGGCTACATGGCTCTTGAGCTGAACCTGACAACAGGGCACCTTATCTAACACAAGCCTACGTGCTCCGGTAGGTCTTGATGATATCTTTGATTGTCCTCCTGCAGATGGGACAGCACGCATTGGCCATCTTCTTGAGCTTGAGGCCACAGGCGTAGCACAGACACATGTGTCCACAGGCGTAGAGAACTGTGTCCACCATGTTCTCATAGCAGATGGTGCATTCGTCACCCCAAGAGCCTGAGCAGGATGGGAAGGTAGGGGACTCTGGGTGGCAGGAGGATGGAGAGCTTGGGGATGTACCTGAGGTGATATGAGAGATGACATTAGAATTGTGTGATCGAATGTGAGAGAGGAAATTAAACAAAAACTTGCCAAAACAGATTGGAGGAAACCTTCCAGGTAGTTCAGGCAGATAACACATTGTGACACCTTCTGCTTAGTGCAACATATCCAATGCACCTTTCATTTAAGCTGTCAATACCCAGCCAACTGTTTTTCTCAGCTAATGAAGCTTCAAGACAGCGCTATGGAAGAATAATTGTGTTATGAGATCATTGCTTCTTCTGCTGCCATTATCTGCCAGGAGTTTTCCTATTATCCTGTCTGCAGCTTGAGACTGCAGTGACTTTGGTGATCAGTACTTCACCAAGGTAAATATTTGCTTCATGTGCTAACATGCATGTCTTTTGTCAGTGTCTTGGTGCTGCTCAGCCAGTGTTTCAGGGCTGCTGACAGTTTTTTCTTGTGCATGTCTTTTAATCAATTTAATTAAATCAAGAATAAACAGGTGAACAAAATCATGCAAATCTGGACATGAGATTTATGGGGTATGTAAATGTACTTGGCCTGGTTTTCAGAGATGCCCTCTAAAGGAAAACTTGGTGAATTTCCTGTATCTTTCAAAGAGGAAATTATTAGGGTGGCCTGATTGTTGAGACAATAACAAAAACCTAGAGGAACTCAAGAAAAGTAAAGACAGAATAAAGACAGAGATGTATAAAGGGGTATATTGAACAACTTGGACAAACCTATGGAGGAAGAAAAGACGGTGTGGTAGCTGGAGTTGAGGCTTGAACTGAGGTTGATGTTCAAGGGTGTGTTGAGGTTGGGCTCTGAGTTACCGCTGCAGAGCATTGTAGGGGTGTTGGGTGTACAAGATGGGGAGCTAGAGACTGAGGGACCTCGAAGGTCTGGGTGCAGAGATGAGCCTGAAGGTACAGAAAACACATTGGTATTAAGCCAAATATTTTCCACCATACACATAGACTGTGAAAGTAAACAACTTTGTGTTTAAAGTGGCAAATGCAACAATTTCATAACTGAGAATCAAACATTTCTGTCATTATCTGAGAAGTTACTCAGAGATGGTAATTTGTAAGAGTGGATGTCTTATTGCAGCTCTCTCGTTGTACTATGTCTCTCTCTGTCTGATCTTGATGATCTGTACAGTTTTATCTTATCTTCTCTCTCTTGCACACACACGCACACACACAAATTAAATCTGCTCTCTCACCAAGCAGATGACTTGTGAGTCCACAGTGTCTGTGTGTGGGTGTCTGTGAGTGAGTCAAGAGCCTACGAGCTGCTGTAGTCTCATCAGAGACGCCAACCACCCTGATTTCTTCCTCCTTCATGAGCCCATGATCCTTCTGGGTAGGGTACAAAATGCTTTCACAAAATATCAGTTGTCTGTCCTGTATAATCTAACCCCATCCACACATTATAACTACCAGCGCTGGCATCAGTTCTCATACTGGCAGCTCATCTCTGCTTACAGATCAGAATACTGACCCCCATTCCACAGACAAATTCTGATCTAGTCAGCCTGGCAACATTATTATTTACACATTGCCCTTCAGCTGACCATGGCAGAATTACTTCTGCACTGTCACACCAGCCGTTTACTTGGCGCCACCTTCCTTCAGTGTGTCAAATGATCTACAAGTTGTAATATTGGTAGTTTCCATTCTATCCTAATTGTCCTACAATGACAATGTGGAGTGGAGAAATGCCTAAAAAAGATTGGCCAATCATGAAAAAAATGAAAAGAACTAAATATTACAAGTTTAAAAAAATTAAGACATTTTTATAGACATTCATGTGGTCTGTTGTTTTGCATGTGTACAGTTTTTGGCACAACAAGCTAAATGCTCTGATCCACTGCTCTGAAATCTGACGACCCACTCCAACCGCTGCAGTCTCAGTTTCAACCTATACATAAACAAACCATAGCAGCTTTTAAGTCATGCAAAAACCAGATTGCTGATTAAAAAAGAAAATCAACAAATGTAGTCAAGTCAGCATAAACACAGAACTTCTGGTAATCCATACAGAAACCTTTTCCATAATTTGTTTGCATTTAAGGTTAGTACTGGGCTGGTGATTGTAGCACTGAGATATGTCATCTATGTATTTATTTTTTATATCATCATTTATTACTTTATATTATCAGATTTTAGAGAGGGATTTATGTTTACAGTAGCATTTACACCATTTACCAATCCTTACTTCAGTTAACATGACCTATGAGGCAGTCAGGCTTTCAGCAAATGCCTTGCTCAACTCTAATAAAGCAGAATGGATAACCTTCAAGGGTACCATTGAAAATAAAAATAAAATAGTGCTCTTTGTAGTAATGATACAAATACAACAAAAAGGAAAATAAAACAAATTTTAAGTAGGGTTATAATACAGGCATTTACATAGCATTTCTATTTTTTTTGTGCTAACTATATTAGAGAAAGCACATTTTTATCCTAATTTGTTATATGCTTGATTTATTTACATATATGTTTTATTTATCCATATATTTTACTTTATTGCACCCCCTCAGTGGAAACCAAAGCAATGCCTGTGGCAGAATAGGTAGCATTCAGCGTTCTTTTCCACTGAAAACAGCTGCCTGATGTGGCCAAAAACAACACTACATGAAAGATGATAGTGAACCAAAACATTAAGCTGTGGGTCATATAATCAAAACAATGCACTGAAATGCACCGGAGTATGCCTTGAAGTGGGAAGGTAATAATTTTCTGCAGCCTTGTGACTAGGAGTGACTCCATTCACATCCTTTGGTCGATAATAAAAATATTGATTACAGCAGCATGCAGAAATAAACATATATAAACCCAGAGCAGATCACCTGTAAAATGGAAATACATAACTTCTGTAAGCCATTGATTCTAAATATCTTAGATTAAATTATAAAATCTAATTTTCTAGGGTAACAAATGACCATGTGATAGCAACAGACTCCCATCTGTTCCACTTCACAGGCTTGACAACACCCAGCCATGACAAACTGTCACTTGCCTCAGCGGCTAGATGTTTCCATGGCAACTCATGGCGTGCTGCAACAGTGAGTGGGTGAGCAGAGACATCACAAATGTACTCCACATAGCCGGTCTGGTTAATGACTCAAAGAAAGCTCGTACCCCCAAAGAATCAGGAGCGAGGGGGTGTAAGTGAGGAAGAAAATGCATGAGGAAAAGAGGAAGTAGAGAGATGAGTGGAGGACAGTGTTAACGGAGCGGGCTGTGGGTGGAAAACCCAGCATCTCAAACCTCCATGAAATTACGTTTTAATAATGCATATGGGCTGCATCATACGGAACTATCACAGGCCTCCCTCTTGATACATAATGCTGGCTGCTGGGAGCCCACGCAAGACAGAAATAACCTCGTCAGCCCCTGACTGGCTACACGACAGAGAGGAGAGGAAAAACTGTAACCCAGAAATGTATTTCCAAAGAGAATTACAAAAATCAACAAATCCTAACAAACCACTGCCTTAAACCAATGGTGAACTTCACCTCTAATAATACATTTCTCTGGGAAGAGAAGTCTAATTTGCTGAGACAGAATCATTAACATCCTTTTTCAGGTTACAACACTAGGTTGGAGGTTTAAAGAATTCAGATGAATGTCTTTATCTGTGGTGACTAAACACTTTCACAGTTGTGCTTGCTTCACTCTGCAGTAGTCATCACATCATCACAGACTACATCCATGCAATGCTACAGCTCCATCATCTGAAGAATAGAGAATTTAAAATCCTTTAAGTGCAACACTCTTAAAACTGTCATACAATATATTTCAAACCTGAACTATATTTGCACTAATTAGGGCAAAGCTTCAGTGAAAATCTATGCTATATGTCAGATGTCCTCGAAAATAAACTCTCTGTGATACCAGAGACCACCTCAGCTGTGTATTTTATTTTGTAATTCTCTAAACTAAGTGAAAGTTTCTGCAGTATACTTATTGCATGCCCAAAGAATGTGTACTTCAACAATACAATAATCTCTAGGAGATTTACTGCAGCAAACTGTCTTTGTTTGTATTTCAGCCTCAACTCAATTTTGCATGGTATGTAAAGTGTGGCTTCCTTTTCACTGTCAAAATCAACTGAATCCAGAAATCATTTTGGAAAGGAAAACTGTACCACAACTTACAACCACTGCTTATCATTAAACCATTATTTTCCACTTTCAGCTTGTGAACCTGTCAGCCATTATAGGAATTTATTCTGCTAGTCAGACAGTCCTAAACAGTGAGTCCAGTGAGGCTCAACACCAGGCAGGATTAACTTTAGGGTACCTTCAGTGAATACTGCAGTATCATTATGTGAAATCTGCTGGAATCAAACTAAGCTGTCAGAAATTCTGTTCGTCTGAAGGTACAAAGTTAACATTCATATGCAAACTGTGGGGGTAGAATGTAAATTCCCAAGCGATATATGAATTGATAAAAAGTCAAAGAGCAGCCAAGACAGCAAGGAGGGGGAAACTATTTCATTACTCTGCTGAGAGGGAATTCAACCCCCAAAGGTCATTCCAGAATCACAAACTGCATTAAATTCTGAGAGGAAAGTTACAAATGACCTCCTGTAAAGATCTGCGGGACATATTTGAATTCCTTGAACCCTAATTTAATAAAATATTCAAACTACTGCAACAGTAAAACTAATGCTATTAAGGAACTGTTGCCCAGTGTAGGCACTTTTTTTTTTTTTTTTACCAAATCTGATCTTGCTTCATCATAAATAGATGCAAGTTTAAAAACCTAATTAGACAAACTTTAGTTCTGTTAAAGTATGTTAAGTTAAAATCTGAGTTGCAGTTTTCAGCTATAGTCCAAGAACATGGGGAGCATCACACCTGAATCTGAGCAGGAATAAGAAGCTACTGGAATTGAATGAAAGTAAAGTAGTTATTTTCTGAGGGAATAACAGTAATCGAGGACCTTGTTTTGAAAAGTTTCCTTTTTCCCCAAACTGATTTAAGATCATAACACTGTTTTAGGCCATTAATATACAACCATAAGATGCTTTGTAAGACAGATCAAGTGAATGTACCTAAAATCCTGAGTTGTGTGATGGTGCCGTGCAGACTGTAGAACATCCAGAGCGGCCTGGAGTTATCGACACATAGTTGCATCCCTGCACTGATACCATTATGGCTCATCATGACCTCCCCATCTGCGTTCACCACAAAGCCCAAGATATCTCCACTGTGGAGTGGCGTCCCAATCCGACACACAGCCCAAAATTCCTTGCGGTCAACCAGGGACTCTGGGTTGGATGGGAGGTCACTGGGCCTCAGGGTTGCTGGGTCACATGATGTCACACCGTAAGAAAGAGATCCGGGCCGTGTGACACCTGATTTCACCTTTACAAACACAGTCTCTGAGCAGCTCATGGACCGGCTGGTGAACACCAGGGTCCTGTCATCACCGTGGTGATCCTGCCGCAGCACCGTGTGCTTATCCAGCACAGTAACATGGACGCCATGCACCGAGTGGAAGTGCAGATCAGTGTCCAAATTGCTAGGCAGGAGCGAACACTGCTGAGAGTTTTGAGCATTTTGGGGCACATGGCAGGAGCTGGAGTTTAATGGTTGTAGCTGTTCTTCTTTTTCCTCATCTTCCTCCAGATGCATGTCTCGCTGCTGCAGGCTCAGGTCACACAAGCTGATGGAGAGTTGAGTGTCATCGCTGTTTCGCTGAGCGGAGGCTCTCTGGGTGGCAGCAAAAGAGTGAGGACGCAGGCAGTCCAGGGGGACCATCTCAGTGTCTGTGGGGAAAAAACACAGGAATGTTATACAATCATTTCTCTGAGGTGTTCTGAAGTAGAATTTTTAATCTGAATCAACACAGAATGTATTTTTTCTTGTTTTCTAATGATTTGTATTTGGATAATACCATAACTTTTTAAGCAGGAAAGGAGTGAACCAACCAGAGAACCAAATTTAATTTATGTACCCAGTTAGTATTCTGCATATTCCTACGCTGGTTTCTTTTACATTCACTGTCTGCGTACACTGTTCATTCATCATCCCTGTCAGTGTAAACAAATGGTGGCTTCTGGCTTCTCTGCTTTATAACATATTCATTCTAATGCATTAGGAGCTTGTAGTTAAAAAATATGGACAAATGTATAAATGTTTAGAAACATATCATGCCTTTAAATGGAGATGTACTGTAGCTACAGGCCAGTGGCTAAATGAGACCTAACAACTTTATGTAGCACTGAAGAGGTAAGACATGAAGCTACTAGAAAACAACAAAGAAGAGCTGTGTTTGAGCCTCCTGCTCGCCTAGCTGCGTCTTGTGATAATGAGCCACACTGTCTTACTTATTTCTTATTCTTAATTTAAGTCCTTTTTCCCAAATTAGGGGCCTAAGGAGTAAAAACAAAGCATTTTTTTCAAAGCTATTAAATTCACAAACTAGATTTTTAAAAAGGCTACTCTGTAATGAAGCCAACATATCTTCAGTGTTTCCTTCAGTCAAGAACTAGAGGTGTTTGAGAGTACAGTGGGTTTCAAATAGCTGTAATGAGCCTTTGTGAGTCGTAAGTGTTTACATAACAAACTGTCTCCGCAGCAATGACTTAATGCACTGTATTCTATCTCTGTACACTGGTAACATTTCAGTTATGTGGCTGGATGCTAAAATCAGCCTTTTTTCTGATCACTGAAAGGGAAAAGCATTCTAAAAACTGTATTGCATATCTCTCCACGCTGTGCAGCCCCCTCACAGACAGCTCTTTCTATGCTAATTCTGCTCAGAGTAAAATAGAAGTCACATGGGAACATCACTGCATAAAAGAAAACAGAAAGACAGCGTGTCTTTCCGTGTACACGGTCAGTACAAACAGCACACTTATGGACATGCTGCCAAATATAACACGGCCCTCTAACACAGACTAAAATTAGCCTGATTGGGCATCTGAGGAGAGCGGGGAGGGACAAACTGAGGGATGAGTGACATGGCGGCTGAGCCGTATGGCTCTTAGCCTCAATCTGCTGTGGGCTTCCCCTATGGGAAGTAGATGGAGTGTGTGACAGAGGAGGAGAGGATAAATAAATAGGGTGGGGTGGACACTTGAGAGAAAGACCATACTTCACCAGCTCCTCTTTATCACACATAGACAGCACATCTCCGGCCAGCCACTGATAAACTGCTTGAACCTAATTACTTCCTCAGTCATGAGTGTCCATAACCAAGAATGAGGCTCTTATTATTAGCTGTCTTATCATCTTCAAGGCAAAGCTGGCCGACTTTGGGATAAAAGAGATAATTTCTATTCTTGCTATTATGGCATCCTGCAGTTCACAGTCTCTGTTTTTGAGCATGATGGAAAACAAGCACTGACGAGAACAGTTACTGTAACTTACAGGGATGTTCCTATATATTGAGAAAGGAAGATAAAAGCTCAAAGAAAACAAAATGTTGAAAGTACTACAAAATGTGAGCCAGCTAATTATGTATGGCTGCTTTTTAGGGTTTGGTCTCAAAAGTGTCTGGGATATCATTTCCTGACAAATATGAAAAACATAGTGAAACACACAAAGCACAATGTTTGTGTCCTATGACGAATGTGTTTGTGCATGCACATTAAAATTCATAGCATGTCTGACACATTTATAGTACGGTTGCATGCACAGGGGTAAAGAACTGTTTGCAAGCAAATACAGTGTAACTGCTCACTCGTTAAATGTCACACAAAGGAGCAAACCTGTCCTTTGTCCTCTGAAATATGTTTGGAAATGAAGCATTGCGCAGAGAAAATTTACCGCAGCCTAGCACTACAACACACTTTTTGAGTTTTAAATTTGGCAATGCTCCAGTGACTTTACAATAGCATGTACTGAGCATAATGGTGATTAAATTCTACTTTGAAATGTTAAAGTTCAAGTCCTTGAAGCTCTTGAATAGCAAGGCAAAGTCTGAATCACTTTTTTCAGGCACAAAAACAATACGAACGTGATTAAGTGCAAGGCTGAAATTGCCCTAGTAAAATTAAGTGGTCTTTGAACAGCCCCAGCTACTCAATCTCAGGAGAAAAGCTCTATTCAAATAGAGGAACACATACCAGACTGACACTGCTCTGCAGGGTCAATAACTGACTTCTTGGCTTTGGCTTTTTATTAAGCATTTTAGCTGTGAGAAAGAAAAAATAATCCGAAGTCAGACCTGCTTAACTCTTGCTGAAAATCAAGGAGGAATTTCTTGGCTTTGTACAAGGAAGAATACACCCATGCCAAAACATACAGTACACCTGCAAAAAAAAAGTACTTCACTGAGAACTACTTAAGGTTTACCTATTCAAAACAAGCTGCAAACTTCAGAGGCATAAACTCTTCACACAGTGTGGAAAAACCGGTTTCTGGAAAGTTAACATGGCAAAGGAGGATGTGCAGGATACAGATGAAAAATTGGCATTTTGTTTCCTCATGAACACTTGCCAGAATGTCAAGTATTTGCGGTAAAAAGCATTTTATAACATTGCTTCACAGTCTGGCTCTACTTCATCTTGCAATGCATTTTAGAGAAGCTGGCATGTATTAAAATACTACGATTTTGATCCCAATCATTCAGTTCACTTCAGGATTTATGCCTTTTTTAATCTGGAGCAGCTATCAGGCAGACAATGCCATGACACTGAATAGTCAAGGGAAGGTTCAGTTTATTCCTGGGCCATGGTGGAACAGGATTAGGAAGCTCTTGGGGTTTTAGTGAAGCGCCAACCTCGATACAAGGTCAGCTGCACCAGTCGTGTGTGTATGGGTGTGTTTGGGGATTTGCCCTAAGTATGCATACCTAGGGAACGAATCCAGAGCTTTGTATAGAATGAGTGAGTGAAGTCATCTGTCATGAGAAAGGAGGTTGGCGGTGAGGTTGTGTGCCTGTCCCAAAAAGGAGAGGGAAGAGCTTTAGCTTATCAAAGAAAAAAGAGAACATGCTCCAGGGGAAAATCTACACTGATGAGCTGTTACAGTACATGCTATCCCAGCCAAGCTAATGATACAAGTAGATTCGTGTGAAGCAGGATGAGCTAAAATGCTACACAATGCTACAATCCTGAAGAAAAGCCCAACAGTTTGAGTATCTATGATGCCACCTGCCGTAGGAACCACATATCTGAAGTATTTCATAGTAAGAGAGCAAACTGAGTGTGGTTCAGTGCCAGATGTTTCTGAGTTTGATCACGGTCACACGGTGTTTTCACAGCCAGTTAAAATGTATGGCAGGCTATAAAAAACAATGCATTATTAAATATTAAACCAGTGGTTTTCAGTCTCTTTGGTTTGTGACTCCTTACAAAAACAGTGTCTGATTGGTGCTCAAGTTTATCCAGTTAGTTTTTAGCAATTAAACCAGAGAAAATTCCCTTCTAAACTCCTCATGCGGTTGTATTTCATTAACTGGCACATTTATCCAAAACAAATATTTGAGAAACAACTGTTTTATGTATAAATCCATAGATTGTTTCTACTTTTCTTTCAAGTTTTGGATGAAGGACTTTTACTTTTTCATTGTTGTATTGGTAAATTTTAAGATAAGACTCCTTCTTCCATTGTGAGTGTCCACTGGTTGATGATGTTTTTGATGTTTCAGTTTGATCTCAAATACATTTATACAGTTATATTGTAGATTAAGCTCATTGTTAAGGTCAAAGCAATATCAGGAGAACCTATGTGAAAATTACCCAGAATGACATACAGTATATGCACACTTATACACACAAATACACAAACATGTTCACATCTTCACTGGAACCAGGTCATCTGAAAATGATTAGCCTCCTCTCCAAAGGCTTCCCCCTTACAGCCGAGCTCCCAGGATCCAAACCTGACAGGCTCCATTACAATTTCTATTTTGATTTCTTTGCAAATCTGTTCGATTCCATCTGGGCTGATTAAATCCCAGCTGAGGCACAATAGCCTGTCCAGCGGCATTTATTTTAGTTGAACAAATCAAATAAATTCCAAGAACTGAGATCACTTGAAACAGAGCTCTCAAAAATACATAGACCTTAACCCCTCATGTGCACATGCTGGCACATGCTAGGACAGTCCTCCAACATTTTAGTCTATTCCAGGCTTCTCATTTCATTTTAACCAACTGTCTGACAGAATGACTTTGCATGAAGAGATAAACTCAGAGGACTACCACCCATCTGCAGTTCTTCTCAGCTCTTTATAGCATCTTTCAACTGACTGTTTTGGTTTATGGCCCATTTGACTGTTTGTCAAAATGTTGATCATTTCACTGTGTTTTTAAGAAAGTGAATGAATGAATGTCACTTTTGGCTTTTTCCCGTAGCCACATGTTGTCATTTGGCACGTGTTTTGCGCCAGATGCCCTTCCTGACGCAACCCTGACTCGAACCCAGGCCGCAGCGGCGAGAGCCCTGCACCCTAACCCATATCAAAAAGATCTAATTATCTGCCATATGCTATATTACCTTAACATACAATCTTGAAGGCAGTGAATCCAGCTTGTACAGGACAGTCTGTCTATTTATGTAGCATGCTAAACAAAATAACATGAAAACGACAAGTCCTGCTACAATATTTCAGTGAGTCTGTGATTATGATATTTATATTTTGAGTAATTTGTTGGCATCTTGCTCTACTGTTGCATTACTGTTACCATTGCTGCCTCATTGCAGTCAATTTGCTGCAAATTAAGAATGCTTATTACCTTGGTAAAAGGACCTGCTATCACCAGTGACTGTGAATGTCTGTCCGTGCATGTTGTAGCACTGTACCGTACATTTTAACA